AGTTGTCACCTGACAAGCAATGCACCAGACAACGGCTTGTTTGAAAAGTATCAGTTGGTAAACATACCAAGAGATGATTGGTTATATTACACAAGACTTGTCAATTTGGTTTACAGTGTACCGGATCATAACGATCTGGATAGTTTTCAGCCTGTAAGCTAACTAAGCGGTAACTGGTCAAGTGGTAGGTACCGGAAGCATTGACAACCTGGTGACTGTTTCGAGACCCTTGTTTTGACACATAGCTCGTCAATATTTTTTACAGTGTAATCAGCAACGTTCAGTGTTTGTGTCGGGTCAGTGTAACAACGCATTTACGTGGAATTTGTTTGCTAATTTTGTTTATAATATTAATTAACAGGACTTATTTAAACTTCTTCCCTTTCAATCTCCGTTCACTTTAGTCGTAATTGGTAAAGGAGAGAAGATGATTCCAGCTGTGTTTGTTCTATTGCCTGCTGGTATGTGTTATTGCCTTACCACAATCATAGTCGCAGCTCACCTCACACCGTGTTTCAAAGGCGCACGAGTCCGCTTTGCGGCTTGTACCAGACATTTCCGCTAACATTTGCGTGAATAACCAAGACGACACGGGCGCTAAAGAACTCCGCAATACAAGTTCATTGGATACTTCATGAGTAGTTGTCCTTCTAATCACCCAGCCCGGCTGCCGAGCATGTTGTTGTTTACTGGACGAGCTGTAAAAATCAGTTGGTTTCGCCCTTTGATGTGTTCCCCCTCCAAAGCCTGCGCTAAGTGACACAGGATCCGACCATTTAAGCACCTGATAATAACCCGTAGCATTGAAGCTTAAACACGAACCCATCTTTTGGGAGGCCGTAACAGCCTAGCCCAACGACTTTTCACTTGAACAGCCGGGCGGGCGAGCCATTGCAAAGTTCCATTGTCACCACCCACTACAAACACGGAGGTAATGTCGTGAATCATTTTTATGTCTGAATTCTGAGGATTTGTCGGTTGACTGCGCAACCAATCAGTCACCGCTCCTCACAGACGGCATGCAATGACGTTGGAGTTATTATACTCAGGCGGTTGGAAAACTTTTCAAATTTAAAAGAGAACATTTTTATGTATTTGGAAAAAGCTATAGTTCTTTGTTGTTCTTTTCATAAGCTCTACAGTCGAATTTAATCGTTCAATGCTTTCCATTTCATGTTAGAAACAGCCAGTCGCTGCTTTCCATTATCCATTATTCCCATTGTTGAGAAGCTCTGTTATGGAAAAGGTCATGTAGTCTATGATGGCTTGTCAAAGTCTGCAATCTATTCATTTCCCAGTTGTGGTGTTTTATTTTCCCCACGGTTGTGGTGCAGTACATTTTTTGTTTACATATGTGAACATTCGTTTTTATGCGTATGTTATTGTGTCGATAGTTTATGTCGATAGTTATGTACCAGTACTGATGATTGCTTATCATTTATCATTTGTTATAGTGAATTGCTTTTAAGCCATGAATATTTGCTTTGCATTCATTTTATGTTCGCTTCTTTATCGACATGGAGGCTAGCAAGACAAATAGTTTTTGACACCATGCTTTGTCTCTGGCACATTTCGTAAGCCTTGACCTATAGAGCACGCGCCTGCGGCTTTCGTACGCCATTTACAAATGCAATAACCGGCGGGGGCCATCAGGGCCGTAATTAATGCTCAGCGCTGGATGAATTCTGACGAGGTGATGGCGGCGCGTAATGAATACCGAAAGTCTCACACTCTCGACCATTCTGCCGCCATGCCCAGGTCAGGCCCGCCGCCGCTCAGTTCGAGCTCGGTGTCAGTGGACTGACCTGTCCTCCAATTATCCGATGGAGAGGGACTCAGGTTTGGTATGCCATGCCAATGACCTGGCTGCAAATTATGTCTTCCATAAGGAATGAGTGCTGAAAACGTCATCTTAGGAGTAAGGACCATATACCGCCATCTCTCATGTATCCACAAATCAATTCATGTGTTTGAAACATATGCTATCAAACACCAACAGTATCATCAGTGAAATGAAAGAAATTCAACATTCAAAGATTTTTAGGGCAATTGTCGAAATGGTTAAAGATCCCATCTTTCCTGAACAAATATTCATTCAGCTATAGGTCACTATGAGTGATATGCTCTGTCACCGTTGTGTTATTTACGCTTCTCACGGTGTCATACTCATAAGCAAGCAGCAGCTCACGGTCATCATGCACAATGCACAGTGAATCTGCGAGCACCGTGGACGGCTACCGAACATTACTATTTTCAATGCACTGCTACTGCTAGGTTTCACTGCCTGCCTAAGAAAAAAGGCTTGAGGTTTTGTCCCATTAACCCGCGAGTTGCTGGGGGGGGGGCGTTAAACGCCCCCACTTTTTTCGCCGGGCCATAGCATAAAAACGGTGCGCCGCAGGCGCGCCAAATTTTGGGTACCTGTAGGGAATTGATTGAAGATTATTGTGACAAAGTTTAAAAAAAAATCGGTCGGAAATTTTTGAGATATCGAGGTTTTAGTGACGTCATGATTTCTGAGTTTTCGACCAAAAACGGCATATGTTCAAAAAATCATATAAAATCACAGAATAGACATACAGACATGCCGTAAACGCCATTAGACTGCCAATGCCATGAACAATCAAATGGCTATCTTCGATTATTGATTATCGTTCCGAATTTTCCAAAATCTTGAACTGAATCTTGGCAATTTCTCGTGACTACTTCACGACCATGATACATGAATTTCTTAAATTGAACTTTTTGGGCCAAACACGTACACATATGATAAAATAAATGTCACCATCGTGTTCTACGCCCCAAATTACCCATTAAACATGTGTCACAGGCTGCGAATATCAGTTTTGATTTTCGGGGATATGTGCCTTCCCGGTTGACCTGACCTTGACCCTGACCTATGCTTGACTGACCCCTACATGGAGCTGACACTCTTGTAGGCCTTATATGATGGATTGTGCACCGTTTTGACAGAGTTTATGACGAGAGGCGCCCATTGCGAAGTCCTGAAGTCAATGCCACTGAAAGCCCGATTTCAGGTGTTTGACCTGACCTTGACCCGACCTGTGACCTCAAAATTCAACTTTGAAGTACTCATCTGAAGCGTCTCGTCGCGTTCTTTCGTTTGCCGCCTCGTGCGTTTCGCTGCGCCTATTGGTTCTCGAGTTATCGGCTGGGGGCGTTTAACGCCCCCCCCCCCCCCCAGCAAACGGTGGGTGACGAAATACCCCAGCAACTGCCGGGTTAATTAGGGATTTCCGTTTGCTTGGCATTACAATGTTAGTTGGTAGTCAATCCGAATACTTTTGCAGACAACAGCACGTTTGACAACGGACAACAACATGAATTTCCAGCGTAACAATGGGAACATACCGAACGGGGTGAGAAAAGACACGTAAATAAGCCATGTTTATGTTGTGGCTCAGACTCCTGCTTTTTCCATGATATAAGAGTGGTGGAGTCCTGTGTAAACTAGCCCCAACACCACAGGTAGGGGTATGCTCAGGAGCACAGCGAAAGGAAGTATATAAACTTCAATGTTGCTAAATGACAGCAATTAATGTGTGATGCATGAACAACGTTTGCGTCTGACAAATGCGCTAAGATGTGCTTTTGAAATTCAACTGCTTTTCCATCGGATCTCTTTGCCAGTACCTATATCGTATCTATAACCGCTGATCACCAAGATGCACTCCAACGCCAGAAGATAATGGTTGAATTTGATCATCAAAAGTAGGCATCACAAATGGTATAGGCAATGCCAAGTGCGCTCTCATCTAATTTAAGGTGGTGTCAGTAAATTGTCAGTCAACCTTTAGCTTCATCGTGACCTGGGATGACGTATTCGCACATGCCGTTAGAATGGGAGACAAATAAGTCATTGATGAGTGATCACCCGAAAACAGGTTAGCCGTACGTCAGGATGAATATTAAACAGCTTTGAACATGCATGTACGAGTAGGAGTGGCAACATTATCTCTTCCATGATGGAGGACAGTCGAATTAACGTCCTTTTTCCTTACGTCATGTAGGATATGGGATCAGTGAGGCTTTCGGTGTATCTATGCTGATAAGTGCTATCAACGGCCACAGTTTCTCTACCAGACGCACACGGTGGTAGTGCAGAACTGGACCACGAGGTGAGGAATCTCCTCAAGACACATAGCGGTCTCCTGTGTGTGTATGACTTATTTGGACACGACCAGTCTCTCCTGTCAGCCGGTGACCAGAGATGTGACGCCGATCTCTATGGCCCCTCCGACTCTCTGGTTTTGCCGCTGGTTTTGTCGACACGGGCTGCTGAAGAACCGAACCGAGCGATCTCAGGGCGCCAGTGCTGCGGACCGTTCTACCAACGCTGGGGACCGGTCCAGTCTGTTGGGGCTGGACACGCGTTTTTCTGTCGATAAGGCGAGCTGCACACGGTGCCCTGGCAGCCAGACAATGGGCCCGAAATACCTCATTTCGATGCAGGACGTCATTGCATGCCGGCGCTGGCCGCGCTGATATGTCCCAGTCGGTGTTTGATGATGCGCAACGGATTGTTTTCCTGTTGCGATAAATTCCGACAGAGTTTGCCGGCACGGATGTCTGGCTCGCTGCATAGTCCAGGTCCGCTGCCATATATTCAGGGCCCCGATTTTTACCTTGATCGAAAGATACTTTGATTGTAATTAGTTGTCTGGACTATGTATTTTTATCTTGATCCGTCTGCTGAGCATAGCGGTAGCTGCCTAAAAGACAGCGAAACACCCAAGTGACATGTCAGGCTTCAGCTGCTTTAGCTAGTTTAGGTATCGTCGTCACTTTGCCCTTCCTATTCAGTCGTAACATGCGACTTGAACGGAAAAGGTAATTTGCAGTTCTTTGGTTTTCCTTTTCAGCCGAGGGAGGCGTTGGTACTATAGTGGCACCTGACTCCAAGCGATGCCTTTTGGATTTGTTTGTGCTGTGTGCATTTCCCTCCTGCAGTGCGCTAACCTTTCCCCCTCTGTCGGCAGGGAGGCGCGGACTGACCCAGTAGTGGTCCGGTGGTGACACGGTGACAGTGACCTGGCAGTGACCCAGCAGTGACTGCGGTGACTGAGTGACAGTGGTGACGTCAGAGTGACGTCATGGGTCGCCGGCCGTGTCTGCCGTCGGCACTGCTGCTGTTAGCGGTGACTGCGAGGTCCGTGTTCGGCCTCAACTGTCTACAGGAGGGTGACCCGGGAGGTGAGTCCGACGGGGCGCCGTCACACGGCCGGGGACACGCAGAGGAACACCGGAGAACACACAGAGGAACACCGGGAACACTCAGAGGTCCGCCAGACAACACCAGGGAACACTCAGAGATCCGCCAGGAAACACGGGGAACACTCAGAGATCCGCCAGGAAACACGGGGAACACTCAGAGATCCGCCAGGAAACACGGGAAACACTCAGAGGTCCGCCAGGAAACACCGGGGAACACTCAGAGAAGACTGGGGAACAATCAAAGGAACACTACGGAACACTCTGAAGTCCACCGAGGGACACTGGAGGAACACTCAGAGAACACTGGGGAACACTCAAAGGAGTACCGGGAACACTCAGAGGAACATGAGCAGGCAAAGAGCGGAACACGAGCAAACATATCAGAATGCGAGTTAACATAAAGAGGCAAATAGAACTCAAATGAAACATATCTAAGATATAGGGCGGAGCGGTGGAAGCAAAACGAGACATAGCCGAAAGCAGAACTTCCGAAACAACAGCGAACCTGGAGTGTAGCACTAGGAGAGGATGATCGGGGCCGAGCGATATAATTTCTGAGGACTTTTCCTTAAACTACGACCGAGCTGTATTGTAAACACCAGTTGAGACTTCCGTCCGAATACGTGGGAGTGGCACCTTGCAGTAATGCCATTAATATAACATCCTTGATCTTTAGTTCCCCACCCATGCCACTTGGCATGTACAATCTACACCACACATGCATTTTATTACTTCATCTACAAATCAAAGTTCATACACCTCCTTACCGACTTGCACACCACTGAATAAGAGAGTAAAAAACATAGCAATTGGCTTAGGGGCCACAAACCTATGCTCATTGTTTACGAATCACTCACATCATTTCGAGTGACGTGGCTACGAGTCCTCCCAAACGTCCACTTTTGACTTTGCCTCCTACTGTCATTAGTATCAGCAGCACTATACGAGTATATACATTGAAAGCATTAGAGGCAGAAATAGTTACCTACTTCCTGCATTTAAACTCAGCGGCAGTTTCTACTACCAGTCTGATGACCACAGTGTCCTACCCCACATGTGACGGTCCTGAACCAGGACCGCTGACCGACCAGCAGACTGCGCTGGCGGCCTAACGGTGCTAAATTACAGCTCCGTGTCCAACGGTAAATTACAGCAGTTTCGACTCACAGCAGTAAGGAGGGCCGATGCCGGCAGGAGTGTACCGTTCGCAGGCCGAATAGAAGGTAGTCTGATGGTGAATATCGCCTACGGAGCGACGGCAGGAATAGCTCGTCATGCAAATGGCAGAATAATGCATATCTAACACACTTACAACATCATACAAACTTCAATGAAGTTCTAATGGTCAATAAGTATTCAAATTAAATACAGAAGCTATTTGTGTCGACTTTTGTGCAACTTTATTCAAACAAAGTTTTAGAACGGCCAAAACTTACGATATTTTTGAAGTCATAGTTCTTAGCTCGTTAATATTCTGTTTAACCGCTGAGTTGATGACACCTGGAGTTCAATCACTCATAGAATAAACATCATCAACGAATTATTCATTGACCCCACCAACTTTTAAGGACTCCGGGAAACAACCGCTTGTGTGCCGATCTCTACTAAGCTAAAAACATATTGGTATTGGAGTAAAGGCTAGGACCACCGTCTTTCGCCAATTGCAAATAGTCTCTAACCATCCACGCATAACTCAAACTACGCGTCCAAACCCGTCCTTGGACGCCAGGGTGTTGGAGCCTCGCCGGCGGCATAGTTCTTTTACTGGAATTATCTTCCGACCTTGGACATTTCCAGAGGCGTGAGGCAAGGGAACCATACAATATGGCCACTGTATGTTTCACGAATGATCATATGCCAACTACTGAAATCGAGCGGTGTGAAATAGAGATGATATTTGATCGTTATTATTCCGCAATATGTGAACAAATAACTGATTAACGTCAAAGTATATAGAAAGTATAAGCAGCGAACGAACGTGCCCGACGGGATGCACATAAAACGAATGACAGACTGGCAGACGGCAGTACCAAGTTAAGTGATTCAATCCACTGTCTATTCTGTGACGACTGACGAGAGCCCTTCTGCGACGCATATAATTTACAAGTCGCAGGGAGGATCAAACCGTTCATCAGGTATTCGTAATCCGCAGAAAACCAACGAGAAGGGTCTGGCCGATTTTATAGCACACATGCCAGTGCCGGCAGACGCACCCGGGAAGTACCAAATGTTCTTCGTTTGAATACGCCCGCATGCATTTCACACATTGAGCCTCGCCCATACCAGATGTGCTGAGGGGACCTATTTATAGAGGAAATCGTATTTTCCCAACCTGGTTCTTTGTCTCCATCGAAAAGGCACTGATCAATTCAGCTGTTGGCAACCACCTGAGCTTTATTCCGAGAGCGTTCGTACTATTCACCGGCCACTTGTGACGCAGAAAAATCAAGGACAGTCTATTTTCTTTTCTTTTTCAAAAATTCCTAGCTTTTGTTTAATCTTGTTTGATATTGGTTGACATCAGATTTAATAAATTCTTGATTTCTGAGCCATCGTGTCGCGTAACAGTTAAATCATTTTGCATTTAATAGCCGTGTTCTGCAGCTGAACTCAAGCCAGTGTTGTCAAAACCTTCCTACGGCCAAATCCTCTCCCAAGATCTCTCACTAGCCGCACCGCTGTAAGTAACAATGGTGACTGGTGTTGGAGATAACATTGCGTATTTCTTGTAAATAAACTAAGTAAGCGGCAAATAGTTGACAGGTAGCACATTCTTCGCCAAGCTCAAATCTTACCCCATTTTGAAGTTTAAAATTCGGTTGCACAAACCGTTACGCAGAACAGCAAGAAAAGAAAAGAGATTTGAAAAGGAAAACATCGAACCCCGCCTCCGTTTCGGCCTCAAATGGCGTCCTACTTAGCCCAGCACTGAGGACAACCATTCAGGATGCTGTCCGTTAGCCCGGGATACTGGGCTCGATTACATAACTGCGGAACGTGACAGCCGGCAGCGTAGCCGGGTGGCTTGTGACGGCTGTCACACAACTGGCACGACTCTGACACTGACAGAGAACGGCAGCCGACCGACGGACCGACGGACCGACGGACCGGCAGACCGACAGACCGACGGACCGACGGACCGACAGACCGACAGCTGCTTTAGGCGGGCTGCGGAACTGGTTCTCCCCAGACGGCCATGGACTGCCCCAATCAAACCCAGACCCGGCTCCAGAAGTCCCAAGCTCGCCATTTTTAGCCACGCTCAGGCTCGCCTCGCCTGGTCGAGTGAATCTCTAATCTCACAGCTCGCTTGTCGAGTATGAGAGCTTGGCAGCTCTGCGCGGCGAGGCTTGGAGCTGTCGCTGCTGCCCTTGGCTGACTTGCTAGATAGGCCACTGGCGGACGGCGGACGGGAAGATTTGAGCCGCCGTAATGGATGGTAGAAGTTGGGCGGCGGTGCCTTCTCGAATAGACAGTGAAGGTGATGGACGACCCGGTGAATATCGCTTACCGACTTCGTGATCCGATTGAATGGGCACCTCATGCCACCCTGCGCATGACCGAGCACAAATATGCTCTGGAAATGGTGATATTTATACGATTTTGAGTACTGAACGATTGCTCGCTATATGCTCTCTATTGCATTATATCCTCCTAACTATCGAAGGTTCCTTTGAAGACAGCACAGTCACAACACTATTCTAGTCGCGACACTGCCGTCCTAAAAATGGTTAATTTTTGTTAATTTTCAAGGTCAGAGTTCAAGGTGAAAACCAGTACTGGTGCACAGATCCCAAGTTGTGTTCCAGAGGGCGAATGTTCACGGTTATATGGCATTGATGTCCACGATCAAAGCTGGTTGAAAACAGCCTCTTTACCGGTCAGACTCGCAAGACTAAGTGTCACTGATTCGCTGCCTCGACAGAATGCGGCTTATGAATCTTCAATGTAAACAGTTTGAGCAGCTTGCGGTCTGCGTGCCCAGATCCTGCAGCCCTGGCTAGCCTTCAGGGTGACAACTCCTCTGTAGACGATACGGAGCTGTCTTTTTCCTTCATTCAGTGACGTTATTATCAGTCATCGAACTCTGTTTTTTTTTTTTTAACTCGAACACCGGTCGAGCGGAGAGCGTGTAGCGACGAACCCGTTCTCTTCTACCGTTCACCGCCTCTGATTCTCACGCTATTCGCCCACGCCTTTGTGTTCAGCCGGGCTAGAGCGTCTGTCTATATTCCCCCAATTATTTGGGCACTGGTCCTCTGATTCCCAGTGCGTGGTCACTGCGGCGGAATGAGCCGTGAGCGCGTTCCGCCGGCCGCATTCCGCCGTGTTCCGCCGACTGGCCAAGGCCCTATATACCCGACTGGCTGCGGAGGAGGCGCTGCAGCAGTCGCTGACCCCTCCGGTAGACACTAGACAGTCGGCCGGCCAGAGCGGACCGTATCAGCCGATCGGAGCCAGGTAGCAGCCACGCGCTGGTCGGACGCGTCCCTCCGTCCTGCTACTGTTCGTCAGCCGGAGGAGGTAGCGGGCGACGACAGGTGGTGGTAGGTCGGGTCGATCTCAGACGCGCGCCGTTCCCAAAACGCCACCCATGACGTCCCCTCTTACCACCCATGGGCGGTTGAAGATTCATAACGCTTTTTTGTGTGAAGTAACATGCTATGGTGGCGTTAGAAGAAAAGTGAAATTCGTTCTCTTTTTCTGAAACCAGTTTCTGATGAAATGAAATGCTGCCTGTCGGAAGACAGGACATAGATGGAAATATCGAAAAATCCAAGAAGTTACAGAGGTGCATGTGCACATCCGTATTTAATTTTAACTTAAGTTTGTCCACAATACACCTTCCATGGCCCCGTTTCTCTTCCCCTCCATTCCCACACCGGATGACGGCTGTGACCAAGGCTTTACGGAGGCTTGGCCGGCCGGCTCCGGCGCCGGCGCGCCCTTTTTAGGAGGTGACCCGCTTCATCAGAAAG